TTTTGGTTTTTTACTCTTTCCTTTTAAATGAGCCAGAGAAATCAGCCCCTCTCTGTGCCGCTTTGCATGCCAAGCACCAGGGTGCCAGAGAGCACTGAACCTTGCCTTACAGGCTGCTCCTGGAAAACTCAGAGACAACCGAGTAGGCTGGAGTATTGCATGTATCCAGAGTGACCCAACATTTACTTCCTTTATATTTAAGGATCATTTGGTATAGAAGTGTACTGGTAACCAGATGATGCACGTTGTGCCAGCAAAAGGGCAGTAGTAAGAAGGAGCCTCCTGGGTTTTGCATGTTCATCCAGAGGTTCCAAGCATGATGCTTGTGACACCCTCCAGGACAGCAGGCAGCAATACCCCTTGGTATTACTGGTGAAGGGGTCCATGTGAGTCCCCAGAAATGATGCAGGGGGGCATGCCAGAAGTTCCCACTCCAATTCAGAGCCTCCCTTCAGAACAAGGCAGCTCTGCAGCACCTCTCAGGCTGAGCAGTGCCTTTTGGCTCCTGTCTTGTTGAAATGCAACAAGCATCCTTCTCTGTGCAGGTGCAAGCCTTGAGCACCGTTAAGCTGGGCACACAAACCACTTACAGCAACATTGCCTCTTAATAGAAGAGGCATCACAGTAGCAGCCACACTACAGACCATTAATTTACTGCCAGGTGCCTTGACCCTAGACTTTAATGTGCATTTAGCTAGAGGTCCACAGCAGAGATTACAGCACAGTGGTAGAAATGCACTTTTACAGGAATTATTTTAATGCTAGTTGAACTCTGACAGAACTCCCTCTGGCTCCCACATGGCCAGAGATGCACTCATTTGTGCCCACTTACAGGTAAATGCTGCTGGGTGTAACATTTGGGTGTTTACACAAGCAGGCAGTGATTTCAGTAGGTATTTCACCAGGAATGAAGCAGGGAAAGCACAGTTAGAAAGGAAGTTAATTGTCATTTAGGTAAAGCTTCTGTTTTAATACTTAACTGCAGATGTCTGAGCTCCTGTGCAGCTACACAGGCACTTTAATCCCTGAGCTTTGGGCACACACTGGTACCTTGGGCTGGATCTGAATCAAGCTGACTTCCCTTAGCACTGCACTCACCACTGAGCGCAGACACAAGCCTGACACTTTGTGCTCAGAGATATTCCCCAGCCACACTGCCAGGGGTGCAGGAGGGATAATGGGCCAAATTTCCACTCAGTGTTAGTCAATTTAACTTCCAATTTGCTCAGCAGAGCCATGCCCATCTCTGGAAGAGGCCATCTGCACCATCATTGATAAGGTGGTCTTGCAGCCTCACTGTGCTGGAAATGTACCAGTGAGCATGCTCTTGCTACTATCAGTAGAGATGGAAAATCACCTTTAATTAGAGCTTTGAACTACCCCACTGTTCTCAGCAATTAGCTCTTGTACTGGGTTTGTGAATTGAACAGCAGCCCTGCACACTGGAGGTGTGGCAAGCCTTGAGAATTGCCCTTTTTCACTCTGTTTCTAATTCTTAACTCCACTGCTGGTGTGTAAAGACTGAAGGGGAGAGAAAATGTCTTGCATGAAGGAAGAATAAAAAACTCAAATAGAATAAACCCAATCATGAGCATGTAGGTAGGGTGTTGTTTTTCTTTCTGCTTAAAACTGGTCTGTCTCTGCAAATACTCAGCTTAATTAGCTCCAAGGTGTGTGGTGCCGACAAGCACTGGACATTTCAGCTGCAGGGAAGGGTAACAGAGCATCCCCTTGCTACCAGCAGGTCTACCAGGTCCCTGCACTGCCAGCTGCCTGCCAGCAATTAGCAGGTCAGCATGAGGCAGCAAAGGTTGCTCCCATGGGATTTACCACCAGCACAAGGGCTCAGTGTAGGAAGAACAGACCTTTCTTTCCCTCACTATCTTCAGCCATTCCCTCTTACTCCCACCCATCCTCCAGTGTCTCAGAGCTCTACCATCCTTTTTACATCCCCCATCACCCCAGGTGTTGTTCTCCCTCCCCAGCCATCTGAGACACCCCATCTGACCCTGCCTCACTCCCCCCCATCCCTCTGCCCTCCACTGCAGGGCTCCTGCCCCCACATTGCCCCACAGCAGCTCCAGAGCTGGCCCCATGCTTCAGCACCTCCCAGCACACCTCCAGCCAGGGCATGAAAACCATTTAATACCACTTGTCCAGCTGGTGCAGGAAGTTACACCACTTAAAAATAATTGCATTTCCCACTAGTTACAGATAAAGCAGACCCCTCTTAATCATTAAGATACGGCCTGATGTGCATTATGAGTTATTAACAGCCCCCTAAGTGAAACAACAGATACAAGACCAAAAGCTAAGTCATAAGTGTTCTCAGATGCCTGCAGATTAATCATGTTATATCTCTGTAGTAGCATCCAAAGCTTCCCATCCCTGCACAGCCTTAAAGCCACAGGACACCTCCTCAGCTGCAGCTCTGCCCTGCCCACAGGCAGAAAAGCCAGGAAGGAAGGTAGCTCATCTCCTCCAAACACAAGGCAATGGAAAAACTGAAAACCACTCAGAATTTGACTCCTTGTTTTCTGCTGCACTGGGTGGAAGAAAACCTGCCTTCTTATGACAGCCCTTCGCAGCAATTATAAGACTGATACTTTTTTAAAGCAATTTCTCCTAAGTACACATCCACTTCTGATCTGACTAATGGGCTAAAACTGTACTGTTGGTATTTTTGGAATTGATTGCAACCTCCTGATCCATGAAGATAAGCACCAAGCCCAGCAAAACAAGAACAGGTGCTGCTGAGATGGCAGTCACTCCTCAGGGCCTGAGCCTGCAGTTACATGGCCCAAGGCAAACCCACTGCTCCTCCACACAGCACAGATGCCAATTCCTCCCACTCAGGGATTAAGTAGATGGCCACAGAGCAGTTACTGACCTGTCTGCATCCCCATCAAGTGCTCAAGCCACAGCAGGAGCAGCACAGCTTCACCTTAATTGCATAAGCACACAGCTTGTTCAAACTCCACTCGGGGTGAGATGGTTTATGCAGGCCCACACTCAAGGATTTAAAGTAGTCTTTAGCCTAGTCACTCTCAGCTGCATCAGTCTCCTTCGCATACATAAGATGCTTGCCAGCTTCAGCTCCCTTCTTACACACCTACAGTCCAAGTCACATCTGGTCTGTGTTATGCCACTGAGCCAAAGAGACCAGCAAGTGACAGAGCCAGAGGAAATAAGGCAGAATGTCTGGGCAGAAAACTTTACTAGAAACTAACACAAAGGATCAGAGAAGTTTATAGCCTGTCCCCTTTGATTCTTACAAAGAGACAACCCAGAAGTGGCAAATTCCTTCAGGGCATGAGAAAGACACAGCTGTTTGGGAGCCTTGCTCCCATCACTTCACACCAGCAAGCAGCCAGCTCAGATGGGCACTTCCTACAGAAAGTACTGGAGAAAGTATCAGCCAGACACATCAGTCCACAGCTTCCACATGCAAGCTCATGTGACACAAATGCATCACTTATCACCATCATTAATGGCCATGAACCTGAAGGCTGAAATTTCCATTTGCACACTGGTCAATGACAGACGCAGCCTGCAAATAACCAGAGAAGTTCTGACCTGTGCAATGGACCAGTGGTATAAAGACAACTAATTTATTTCTCAGTGGCTTGTAACACCTCCAAAACTAGCAAAATTGGCTCCCTTGGAGTTATGGTAAATGCTAACTGCTGTAGTTTGTCCCAGAACTGATCTGGCAATATTATACCTGCTGCCTGGTACTACAGACAGCTGCTCCAATGCAGTAAAGCCGATTAGCCCACACTTGCTCTGGTAGAAAAGGTGCCTTCGTGGTTTGAAGCTCAAGCTGAGACCACCAAGATGCTCAGGCTGGGCAGCTGACATCCCTAAACACTACCTTCTAAACATCCTGGACATAGAGCATTTGCTGTGAGGAATGGTTGTTAAGCTGGGGGAGGGAGGTACTGGGGAGAAGTCCCTCACCACACCTGCTGACCATAAGCACCACAGACTGGGGCTCATTGCAGGGCCATAGCCCAGCTACTGCCTCATCAAGAAGCTGGCTGCAGTCCAGCCCTCAGACATGGTGTCAATGGTACATTGTTAGGTGTGCTGAGATGATGTTACAGAAATATGGGCTATCATTCATCACTGCTGTCAGTTTTACAGGACAAGTGTCAGCATAGCACAGCTGGAGTCTGGTGCTTCCAGGGCTAGCAGGCTCTGGGAAAGCAGGTCAGGCAGCCTTGTGCTGGCCCCAGCTAGGAACAAGGTCATCATCAAGTGCTGCCAGGGACAAGCCCCCCAGCAGCTCACATCTCCACCATTTCACATCTTCTCCAAGCTAGCTTTTTCTTCCTCCACTTGTTAACTGGAGCCCATGGCTATGCCTTCCTCACCCTCAGTGACCAGGTGTGCATCCCCTCCCACCAGGCACACAGCCCCACTCAGCCCCTGCCCCACCTTGTAACTACAGCTCTGTTCCCATGTTCCAGTTTCCCAGTTTTATTTTCCCAGTTTCAGACCCTCTGTGTCCCACCAGCCTTTCCTCTCCTGCTGCTCATGGTGCTGAGCTGCCCTCACCACAGGCAGCACCAAGCAGCCTCCCTCATGCAAGATCTTTTTACCAAGAGTGGAACTTTCCAAATATTGACTTATTTTAGCCTAAATAATATCATTCTATTGTTATTGCCTATAAAGCCAACCTAAAGCTGGCTCTGTTTCACATTCTAAAATACTTCTAAAGCAACTTGATTGCATCAGAGATAACCCATAAACAAGAGCAGCAGAGCCAGGCTGCATTTAGTACAGTCCATCAGCTGAACTAAAACCCTGAACCCACTATCTGCTCTTGTCAAAGAGTGATAGGTATAAATCAATACGTGTTTTTCTGCACTTTTCTCCCATACCTGCATGCCTACGCAAGGAGGAAAGCATATACAGTCAGCCTGACTTGAACTGAATGTTCAAAGAAGCAATGAACAGATACAAAGGGAATAGTTTCAGAGTGCTAGATGCAGTACCTTGAACGTACAAATGGTGTTTTCCCCCTTGCTTGCAAACACCTTCCCCCATATCACACAGCTCGTCCTTCTTCTGGCCAACACTCCCAAAAGCTGTTTCCTTCAAAGCACCTCAGCAAGAAGCTCTGCAAAACTGCTCCCAGCAAACCAACTCCTATGTCTCCTGGGTGAGCATTTTATCTGCTCCCAATCTGGCCGGGATGGAGAGCACCTGGAGCCAGCAAGCACACAGCAGCTGATCACTCTACCTTGTCATGCTTCAACTAACTTTAACAGATCCCTAACGACAATTTGTATCATCTGAGCACCTGGCATTGGCTCCCTGTATTAGTTTATGACCTCAGGTCGTGTTTAGAAACAACACAGTAGAAAAAAAATAATGTTATTTTTACAAGTCTGAAGTCAGTATAGTACCAAAAGTTAGCTTGTTTGCAAGCCGACCGTTCTGCTTTGTGATTGATACATAGGTTGTACCTCTGCCCTTCAGGTAAGAGGCTTAGCACCCACTTTAGCAAAAACACCAAGGGACAGTGAGCAGGAGGCAGATGTTTTGGGTGTTTCATCTGGCTGCAGTTGCTGAGGAGATGGCCTCGGGGACATCCATGTGTGCCCCAGCTGGGTCAGCGGGGCTGCGCTCTGAGCAAGGCACGGCTGGGGAGTAAAAGGCACAGGCTTGCTAGGGAATGCCCTCAGCACATGCTTCTGCTTACAGGTGAAAATATATGTTATTAGTATTGTTTAATAATAAAGAGCACTGGTATTGGGAGATCTATGTTAATGCTATCGCTAGTAGCAGTGTGCTGTGCGTTAACAGCCATAAACCCTGCTGCTACAGCTCCCAGCAGTGTTGAGGTACAGCTGTAACATTCAGGTATATCACGTCAAAAAAGTCCTGATGATGCATCTCCAAGTATCAGCGCTTCCTAGTTCCTCACTTGACACAGCCACAATGTGAACTGAACCCTGTGTTTCTGAAAGCGCCACCAAAAAGAGATGTCTGTATGAGCAGTGCGTTGTGCGAGCTTGCTGCCAGCAGCGGCCTGCAGTCTGTGCAGGCTTCAGTCTGCAGCCGAGGGGCTGAAAAAGAAGCAAGGTTTAGTTGTTTGGTTCTACCCCACCAGTTCTGTGTGCTTACGTGCAGAAAGGTAACGGTACGTGAGTGTGATACCCATATGGTAGGTGTGTGTATTCCTGACCTGTAAATTATGTAGTAACTCTATACCCTTAGGCACCTCGTCTCTGAGAACCACTAAGGAAGTCTCTCTCATTTCATTGTTTTATGTTTGTTTCAGGTTTTTTTATGTGTTGATTTTCTTTCTGCAAATAGCGATGAGTTTGATACAGGACAAGGTGGTTTTAGGATATCATAAAGTATGAATATTACAGAGAGGCCCATCAGAAGGCTTTCATTACTGCTGGCAGATGCTGTACATTTGTACTTAAAGCTCTGTTGTGATAACCATCTGAAAGCTTAGCTGAGCTTTTAGAGACTTGCGGGTCTCCAGCATGGCCTGGAGATCTTCTGATTGATCGGGGGAAGATTCGGTGACCAGGAGTCTGAATGGGGACCGCTTCTGCTCCTCGAAATTCATGTCAAACCTTTGAGCTAGGCAGTAGCAGCTGCTGCTTCTAACCCCGGTGTTTTTCTTTGGCAGCCTCACAGGCCCCTTGGTTCAGGCACTAGCTGTTCAGTGTTGCCCTGGAATAAACCTGGAACCGATCCCATGGAGCTGGTAGAGTTTGTGCTGAAACAAATGTTAAACCAAGGAATGAACATTCAATGACTTGTGTAATGCTGCGTGCCTTCCTGTAATGTACTTTCACTACGCTTTCAGACTTTCAGATTTTCAGTCTGGTATTAATAGAAGAAAGTATCTCAGGGTCAGGCCTGCATTACGGTCAGGCTTTTAGCATCCTCTTTGCCCCTTTTCCTCTTCTCACCTCTGCAGCAGCCACAGCCAGCCAGGCCACCGGGATGTGGTTAGCAGCGGATTGCAGTGAGTGCAGCGGGTGTCCTAAACCCCATTGCTTGGTCTGAACGGTCTGCCAGGGGTGTGTTGAATTTAACAACAATTTCTTCTTGTATTTACCATATTCTCTGGCTGTCTATTGTGTAACTGTTATGTTCCTTTAGGCAGCACCTGCCATGTATCTTTTACCTTCAGTTTTTTAGGCCTTGCCAAGAAGATTGCTATATGCTACGTTAGGTTCTTCTCTTTATTCATCTAAGCTGCCATTTTTCCAAGTATCAAAATATTACTAGGTCCCTATATAAATGTCTCTTGTATGTAGAGGAATGAGATTTAATGCTGCTTCTTACTTGTCTAATGGGAGGTTTGTTTCTTTTTATGGTAAAATCATTGCTGTTGCAATTTATCAGCCACACATATATAACAAGCTTTCTATGTCTTGGATAGAAAACTTCCCTGTAAAACCTCACTAGGTGAGCTGTAATACCACTTCCAGGTATGACTGCTGCTTTATGTGCTCTCAAGTTTGGGGTATTTGGCCTCAGGATTCCCATTTATGCTCCGAATTCTCTCTCAGTCCAAAGCTTGGAAGCTAAAATGAGTTTAATACCCAAAACTACTTCCACGCTTGAGGCTGCAATAGTCCAATATTCCCTCTAAGCAGAATGCAATTCCATCTGGTGAACCTTGGCTCAGATGACTGATAAATTTATCTGTCACTGCCAGCTGTGAAGCAGCAGGGTGCCTGAGATGAGCATCCGCAGCAGCCACCCACGCAGGGCCAACATGACATCCTCTGTTTCTGGATCTAGATAAAATTTCATCGGTCTTTTGGGGAGAAGGGGGGTGTAAGGGTTAATATCACAACAGTGCCGTGAGCTGTTTCCTGGCCATTCTGCCTGACATGATAGGAACCTTGTGGGAACACTGCATTTGTGGGATTTCTGTTATTATTCTTGGAGCAATCTGCAAGAGGAGGGCTAATCTTATGTGATGTCAACCACATATTCTCAGCCAAGGGCATGTAGGAATGGTTTATTTCATATCCATCCAACAACCAGAACATGCTGAGTAGCTTTGGATGCAGGGATTCAAAGCCAATTCCTCAAAGCACTTCCCAAGATTTTACCCAAGAGCCTCAAATGAACATTTGACCTTATATCCATTGATAATCTTTTTAAGCATTTATCCAAAAAAAAAAAAAATCTGAACCAGGATTTACTGAAGATTAACAGCTTGGTATTTGAGCATGAGTGACTTTGAGTGAATTTTCCCTTAACTAGAAATTTTCTCCCAACACACAGCCCCAGGGCCAGCACTGTATCACGAAGGGCCAATGGGCAGCATGTGGTGACACATTGGAAAGGCATCAAAACATTCATGAGTCACTTGGCCAGAGACTGCAGGTGACTGTGGCTCAGAGGGGAGCCCCTTGGAGCAACCCCTGCCTTACCAATACCGCTGCATCGGTGCCACACATCCTGGGCTGCCTCCAGAACAGCCCAACAGCTGAACCCAAAAAGCAACCTAAAATCACTTGTAGGCTGTGTGCTTCTATTCACTGTAAGCAGTCTGGTTCTAAAAGGAATTTGTTTTGTTTCCAGCCTGCCTTAAAAAGACCCTTCACCTAGCTCTGACCTCAAATCCTTGTGCTCCAGACAGGGATGATTGTTCCTTGGGACTTCAGCACTTGTTAATTCTCTTAAAGAGATTACTCAAATCTCCTAAAAAAAATATCTGACTAGGGTTTGGATTAAGCACTGGTGCTAAAATGACCTTGTTGATGAAATCAGCGTGCTCTAACCTTGCAAATTGGAGAGGGAAGCCTTGGATCTAACTGTGGCTCAGTAGGTACGACCATGGAAAGTAGCCAGACTGCTCCGCATCTCTGTTCCCCTAATGCTAACACCCTTACAATGTTCCTTGAGAGCAAATACAATGTCAGGTTTTCCATGTCCTTGTTGGAAAGACAGCGCAGTGATGAAGCCATCGTGGTAATGCCCAACCTGCTCTTCTCTAACGCTTGTTACTTTCTCCATGTTTGAGCTTTCTGGCTCATTCCAGCATCAGCATGAGGCTTCTTTACCCCAACTCCTGTGTTAATCAACATGCTATTGCTGGGAAGTGGATTTAGCTTAGCAGATTTGGCAGGGAGCTTAGTGGAGGTGCTGGGGCACATTGCACACCCCAGGGGTCTGCCACAGGTGTCCCCTGCCTGCCACCACTGGGTCACGTCCCCACTGTGCAGTCAATTGCCAGTCATTTGTCCTGCCTGTATTGTGCAGTTTTCTTTGTGTCTTGCCTAGGTCTCAGAGATAATTAACCCTGCAAAGTCAGATTTGGGGTTAGACTGTTACAGACATTTTCTTGGGATCCAGAAGCGGCTCAGCAAGGTCTGCATGGAGTATTTTTGCCTTTGTGTTGTGGCCAGGAGTGAAGCCCAGGAATTGTTTGTGTGCTGAGAGTTTCACAAAAGCGAGATCATTAAATCAAAACGGAAGCACTTTCAGCCTACATCTCTTCTGGTGGTGTTCTTGTTACTGTTCTTCCATAATGCCAGCTGATTTCCCTGCAAAATCTCTAGTGTCTGTAATGGAAACAATTTCAAATCCAGTACGAATTCATAGACTGTTTTCGAAGGAAAAAAAAAAATAATCATTGGAAGGCAAAGCCCATGATGGCTGAAGCACTTAAATCTACTTTCCTATCTCTTTGCCCAAATTTCAGTTTAATTTACTCATTTGCTAATCCTAATTTTCCAGTCCTGTGCTTACAAGCCTCACTCATGTGGAAACACATTAGACTTCTGCAATTAGCTGCAACTTAGGGCTTCAAAACTCTCATCAGCTTTGCTTCTCAGCCTGCAACGTGTAATGGTGGGTTTGCCTTCCTCACCTCAAAAATGTTTTAGATAGATGTGCTTGCTGTTTCCTACCTGAGCACTGTGCTCCATTTCGCTCTCACTGGTGCTCATTAGGGCAGAAGTACCCCACTTCCACTGAACGTCAATGATACTTGATGCAGGAATTTAGACTTTTCTCAAAGATTTCTTCAGATGCTATGATTTACTTTTCATTCAGTTTTAATGATATCACAGATGAAATATATTTAATATATTTTTAGAAACGGTTTTGTCACTGTGATGTGCTGCACGTAGAAATAGCAAGTAAATGTGATGTGACAAAATATCGAGGAGGAACCATGTTTGAGGCCCTCTTTACTTCTGACAAACAGGACAAGCAACCTGGTCATGCCCCAAGAGCACAGGCTGCTGCTAGAACAGGTAGCTCTGGGGGCTACATCCCCACTGCTGCCCCCATCCATCTTCTGCACAGGGAAAACCAGCCAGGGAGGCACGGTGGGGCCCAATCTTCCCTGATCCCAGCTGGGCTCCACAGCTTTCTCCTCCGTTTCCCTCGGGGGCTGTATTTCTGTGTGCTAATGTAAGGAGAAAAGCCTTTTTAATCCAGTATCATACAGGCTCAAAGTATGGATATTTTTCATTTTGAATAAGATATGACTATTAAGTTCTTTGGGCAGGGACTTTGTCCTCCACCACCTTTACAAGGCACTCAGCACACTGCTGGTATTATAGATGTAAATACTACAAATAATATATCACAGTTCACATCTCAGAGATCGGTTTCATTGGAAATGTGCTCACAAAGTCTATCTGTATGTTGTGATAGAAAAGGCTCAACTATGAGAAGCTGAGGACCACTTCCCCAGAAGGCAGTGCTGAGCCCCACCCTGGAAAAGTTTGGGGTCAAAACCTGTTCTGATGGAGGCTTCCCATTAATTCTTGAAGGTTTTCTTAGTTTGGTTCCAGCAGTAAAACAGTGACATCCTGCACAAGGGACAAGAAGTTTAGCATGCAGAGTACTCATCTGAGAAGTGGACAAGAGCTGTTTCCTCCTGCAGGGTATCTCTGTGTAATAGTTTGAAACAGAAAGACAGAATGAATTCCCTAACCAGTTGAAGGCAAACAGGTAAAAAGGACTTAAAAAAAAATCCTTGTAGAAAAGAATTTATTATTAACTGAAAAAGTAATTTAACGGCATAGTAATGTTCTCATACCACTGAGCAAATCTAATACCAACTCTGCAAATCTAATAAGATCTCTGCAAAAGCAGAGAAGTTCAATCTGAAGTGCACTCTTTTGAGTCTGAGGCCAGTGTCCATTAAGTACAATAGAAATATTACTTCAGTTTCAATACAAGCTGGATCAGGCCTCCGCTGAATTTGGACTGTCAGTGGTTGTTATTGTCTCTGCAGAATATTCCACTTAAACTCACCACAGTGATTAAAGTAGCTTATAATTTCCACAACAATACAAGTAAATTCTCAGTGTGTGCTGTCCTTGCAAGCGGAACGTAGGAGGCACTGCCATGCTTGCACCAGAGCCGTCTCCTGCATTAAGCAAGAGCCAAATTGGCCCAGAAATATCACAAGTAGACGGGATGTAACCACCAGACCTTCTTAAATGAGGTGTAATCGATAGGCAGAGCCTTCCACCATGGTAACAAATTGTGCATGAATCCTCACCCCACCCTCCAAGGGATCCTTGAACAGCCAACAGGAGACACAGCACCCATCCTGCAATGATTATGCTACTGCATTGCCAGCTGTTGTATTTCTAATTTTGCTAATGGCCAAATCATTTTGCTTCAGCCACTTCTTTATTACGTACATCAGCTGGAAATTATCAGCTTCATTACCCAGAGCTCCAAAAGACTCCATGTCATCAGCCATGTAGAATTCAATGTACATGGAAAAGGCTGGATGTGCAATGGTGTTTCACAAGGAGCAACTGCTGTGCACTAAGACAAGCTATCTTGGTCTATCATTTTTTTTGCAGGTCCCAGCAACATCTCCCAGTTGAGCATTCCATTAACTTTTTCACCCCCTGTTTCTCAAAAAAGCCCAGAGGTAATCTTAATCCCCCTTATCTTGCGACACTATTATCTTGCTGTGTTTCTGCTGGCTTCACACTGAGATTTTGTAGAACTATGTTTTCTTATTTAGCCCAAAATTGGCTTGGAGAAAGACAGCGCAAAGAGGTCTTTTCTGAGCAAGCTAGAAATAAAAATGGAAAGTCTTGTTCTGTGCCTGACTTCAATTCAGTATCAGCTTAGAGGGGGAGTTGTTTTGCTGCAGTTTAAGAGAAGGGAGCATCTCCTATCTGAGATGGGAGATTGATTCCTATTAGATTAATCCTGTTAGTTCCTAAGGGACTAGATTAGTCCCTTTGAGCAGCCCAGGATGCTCCACGCACCCTTTGACTGCTGGGACCCGCAATTATCCCAACCCTGTCAACTCCAGAAAGAACTTCATCATGACCCTGTTAGTACCCTTTCCCCTGTTGAACTTTACTTTGAGTCTTTAAAGTAAGAAGGTGTTACTAAACTTAGGCAACTGCAAAATACAACTAGCCAGGAAGAAGATGTACAAAATTCAGTTATTTTTAAATGAGGTTGAAGTCATTTTATGGATCACACATTTGTAATGGCTGGCTATATTAATAAATTCAGTACATAAGCTTTCAAGTTTGAAGCAAGCCTCTCAGTCTGTTGCTTCAGAAAGTGCAATCCAAAAGCTATTGATCTATTTATACAGATAAGAACCCAACAGAGTTATCAGGATCAATGCAAACACTCAGAAGAAGACTCAGTATAACTAATAATAAATAAGTAAAGACCTAGGAAATAGAAATGTACAATTTAAAACTAACTGAAATGCTGACCTGAAGAATAGGTGTTTATGTACATTTCTGCAAATGCAATTCTGAGAAAGGAAAAGAGAGTGCAAAAAGTAAGTGGGTAATTTCAGAGGTGGCAGACAAGATAATAGACAAGCAGCATCCAACTCAAAGGAGATGGGCAGGGGCTAAAAAGTGGTGGAAGCAACATAAGATTTTTGATTTGATTTGATTTTTCTACAGAACTTTCAAATTAATTTATACAAAGCAAGGTCTGAGTACTGTAATTGAAATCAAGCCAGGAGAGAGTACAGGAGCAGCATGGGTATCTGCATACACATTTTGCAGGTTCAGGCAGTCTAATTTTGCATCCACCTTCTTGTTTCCCAGCGTCAGGAGTTTTGACATGGGCCCTGTCTGTTGTTTTTTTGAGCTGTTTTCCATCTGTCTTTCTTGTCTCTGAGGATGGGATGGGATGGGATGGGATGGGATGGGATGGGATGGGATGGGATGGGATGGGATGGGATGGGGGCAGTAGGTTGGGCTGGCCACCAACACTTGCATTTCAAAGTACTTATCAGCCAGTTCATCGATCCAGGATTTGGATGGATGAGCATGGGATAGGCATTGGGTCATGCCTATCCTCCACAGTAGTGTGGACAGCCTATCTTGAAAACATTCTTACTCAAATTTTTCTTTAAGGCTTGATGAAGATCAAACCCTCCCAGGTGCTTGGTGCTGGGTGTAGCAGCAATGAAAGGCCAGCCCCAGCCCTGGACAGCTCACAACATGCTCTAGTTTTGTTTCAAGTGCTGCCCAACCAAAAACATCAAGGCAGGTTCAGACCAAGAGCTGCCCCACCTGTTTTAGTGCGTTAGATCTTACCCCCAAAAATAAAGGCCAGTCGTGGGAATAGCCGTCCTTTGTTTAGCTTTAAATGAGGAACTGAAACAGGCCAGTAATCAGGGGAGACAAGATCACAAGACATGTACAATTTCATCTCATCCATGTTAGTGTACCTGAAAATACAATGAGCTTGCAAAAAATTACAATAATTATGAGCTGGGAAAAGAAATAGCCTGGGAGCCTGAGTCCTTCAGTAAAAGTTCACTGAGTTTTGCTAGCAAGATTCAAACTTTTCCTAAAATAAGGAAATTGGATCCACTGCAGCCCCAATGCAGTAAGACAGATGTGTATCTAATGTTTTGTTTCAGTGAACATCTGATGTGAATCAGCACTGTTTGTACATCAGTTGTCTTATCCCAGAAATCAAGCACCTCCTTCCCCCACAGGCAGCCTGAGCACACCAGGAAGGCTGGCAGCAGCCCGAAGCCCAGAGCTGCCTCAATACGGCCACGTAGGCACGGACATTGCACACGAGAGCATCTGCAGTGTCTGCAGAGATCACAGGACAGTTGATTTGCTGGTACGAGGCAGTGCAGCCCCACCAAAGGCAGTGTGAGAGGCTCAGAGCTGCCTCAGCCCACACCAGGTGGTGAGGAAGATTGGAGAGTGGGAAGAGAAAGTGCTAGAGAAATAGGGGAGGAGAAGATCAGGGAGTGACCCTAGGTTAAAGAGCACTACATTTCAAAGAAGTCAAGATTTCCTTCTTTAATATTTGAAGAAGGAAAAAAGTACTTTCACTGAGAAAGTAATTACATCGTGGAGCTGCTTTGGCAGAGGAGCCAGTGCAGGCAACAATGGGAGATGGCTTGGGCCAGAGGACAAACCAGCTCCAGCTTGGTTCCTGCCAACAACAGGGACCCAGAAGGGTGCATGAGGTCCCACCAGTCAGTCACAGCACCTCCACAGCTCAGCACAGGTCCATCCATACCTTCTGTTCCTCAGGGCCATCCCCAAGCACCATCAGCAGGCATTAGCCAGGGCCTAGCACTGAGTGGGGTGGACCTGGGCTCTCACCTTGCACCATTACTCCTTAAATACCTTCCGGGAGGGAGAAACAGAGGGCAGGTCATAGGCTGATGTGATTCAGCTCCACTGAAATCAAAAGAGATGTCAGCATGCAGCTGAAGGACTGCTGAACTCCAGGCTGCAGGGAGGGGAACGCCACTGGGCTTCAGGAGTGGTCCACAGAACATCAGGAAGGAGGGAGAGAGAAAGAAAGGTTAAAAGTTTAAACAGTATTTAGATAGGGAACAAAAATATTGTCAAAAAGTCAATCAGAAGTCTAGATTTAGGCAGATCTGCTCTTATTTAACCTTCAGCATGAGATCAGGTCTCAGCCTTTCTATTCTTGGTAACAGCTGATGAATGCAGTGTAACAAGGTATTAATAAACATCTGCCCAGCTCTTAGATTAGTATGGGGAAGAATTAATGGAGGTCTTAGCACGTTCATATTTTCTGATTATGGCATGACTTTATTTATAGAAATAATAGGGGGAATGGAAATCGTCAGTGACACCCTGTCAATATACGTAATGAAATCCACTCATTTAATTGCATTACACTTGGCTACGGAGTCGTATCAATAAAAGGTCCTCCTTAGAGCAGCTCAGTGGTCACTATGTACTTCATGTAAGAAAGATATTAAGATTAATATTTTTTCAATGAACCATTGGGAAAATAAGTATTCCCTGACATACCCATTCCCATGCCTCTGACCCTGAGAGGGACGAGGCTGCTGGCTGTGCTGGGGCAAAGCTTTCCACCAGGCGAGGTGAAGTCCACTGCCCCTCAGCAGCAGCCCAGCTTTCACGCCACTTTTCCAGCCACTCCCTTCTTCCAGTCCCTAAAAAGTCCCAAAATTTAAAATAAGCCCAGCCTGAAGCCTGTGCTATATTTTATTTGTTGCCAGAGATGGCTAAACCAACCCATGCATCAGCTCTGCTTCATGCCATGCCCTCCTATCCACCACAATAAAGTATCAACAGTGCTTATTGTGCCATACCACTGAGATAAATAAAGCACAATTTGAAACCTTGGTATGTTCAGGCCTCCTAAAAGAGAGGGAAAGGCCTATAAAACCCCCATTGAAGGAGTCATGGCTGTTCAGATCATTTGCAGCTTGTTAGGTAAGCCCTGAAGCCAGTTTTAATCAGGAGGTGCCAACGTTAGTGGAGAACTGCTGGGGTTTAAGCAGGCTTTGGACTGACTGTGGCTGTTTCTCAAGGTTTTAAAATACATTTCATAATGTTCAGTGCAGACAGGCAGCTGGGGAAGTTTAAGTCTTTTCTCCCAGAAGCATGGGAAAAACAAAATAAAGCTACAATTATGGTGACAGATGGTCTGTTACAAACAACAGGGCATTGCTAGTAATTTTGCTCCTTGCACAATGAAGGAGATCAGGACTGATGCAAAAAAGCCAAGAAAGTCCTGTGATTCTATCCTGTTCTTCCAAAAAAAAAAATAAAAAAGCAATTCCTAATCCAATCCAATCTTCCAAAGCTATCAGTCTGAATTAATGGAAGCAGAGCAAGAAAATGTTACTATTTCTATTAATTATAGAGGCAGGTTTGTGCAATAAACAGAATTCATATCCCTACTGTGCTGTGTAAGTACCTATAATTCAGCTGCTCCACTCACAACTGCAGCATGTTCTTCACATTGTTTTACAAATTAGCAAACCTGAAATCAGCAGCCACGTACGGTGTGATGACATTTAGTTTAACTACGGGGAATCTGATCTGCTGAAATCCACGGGCGGTCTTCCAGTGCTGCTTTTCACCGTGATTGTGTTACAGCTCCCCAATTAAGTCCTCCTAGATCAGCTCCGTGTTTTCCATGGAAGTGACAGTACAGATGCTGTAGGAAATACTATCAGTTATTTATTGCACTTGCTGGCACTCCCCCTAGTACTGCCAAGGTGACGTTTGGGGTGATGCTCTTTTAGAGGTGACCAGAAAGGTGGGCCAGAGCACTCCTGGAGCTAAATGGACTTTCCGTTGACTGGTTGCATTTACTGCAAGGGGCACGGAGTCAGAGCAGGGACACAGATAAGAACACACACATGGATCTCTTTGCTCAGTAGGCAATGCCCAGTACCTGCATACCTCACAGGAATTTATTTTGTGCATCAAAACTTACAGAAGCAGAACCAGCTGTGCTGTCTCAGAGGGAGTCCTTCATCTTAACACTGGTGGTGTATCCTCTGGGAGGACTGCTGGTAGCAATGGCTTGGACAAGCATCTTCTGTCACCCTGTGGAAACCTCCACGTCCTGCCTAGGCTGGGAAAAGAAGACCCCAGAGGAGTTGGCTACCAAAAGCAGAGCTGCCCCAGCAGCCATGACTGAGGCAGGAGCTTTTAAAGCAGTGGTAAAGAAAAACATTTCTGGGGGTATGAAGGGAAGCTGTGGAAAGGTGCTGGGCAATGATCTTTCTAAGTCTGCTCCAGCTTTCTACCTTCTAGATTAAATAAATACTGCCTTTCTCTGCACCTGAGAAAGAGGAAGCAAATTGCCTGTTGCCAGTCAGAAAACATTTAATAGCAAGGCTCCTGCCACCAGCCAGAACATCCCACCTGCAGACTGGTGTGACCGGGAACACTCTAGCAGCCAAAATTACTCAAGTAGCAATGTTTTCCAATAGCTGTATGGTGTCAGTTGCAGATCACTTTTGATAGTGGCAAGGTCTGATAGCAAATGGCTTCACCAAGATAAAGAAAAGAAGAAAACGTTCCCTGAGATACAGCACAAAAGGTTGATTTACCTGTTCTTTATCCATCCACTACTTACAGAGCTGCTGGTGTTACTTTTTAAGCATCTGACTCAGACATCAGAGCAGAAAGGTGATAAAATGCTCACCTTTGATTGAATATTTGACTTAAGTTGCCATTGTGGTAAAAGGTAAAAATAAATACATATACTATGAGGAATTCAAGTTACTACTGGACAAAATGTTCCACATCAATTTTAAATCCTTACAGACACTGAAAATCTCTTTTTTGGTTTGCATGAAGGTCAAGATTGAGTTTTTGAGTGTTCTTTCAGCAGGGATTTTATTTAAACACTGGAACTTCCTTCCAATTTAAGGAGAATGGTTCTTAAACAACATCTGACACTGGTCCAGCTGGGGACTGGACTAACATGGTCTCAAGGGAACATAACAAACTGAAAAGTGTTTGCTCTGGCACTGAGAAGTTCTGTGCCATTGCCCTACCCTTTGTTTGCTTCTGCATTTCACTCCTGACCTGGCTGTAAATAGGAAGAGAATCCAGTATCCAATCTCTTCTGAAGTGCATATCAAAGAGCATTGAAATGATAGACTTCATTAAGCTCATATATCAGCTTTCAAAAAAAACTGCTGAGATGGGGAATTCACAACAGCATTTCCAATGTAAGGGAGAGAAGCAAGAGGGGGGTGAAAGTTAACATTTTGCAACGTATAAAATAAAAATGCAATCCGTGTTACAACAACTTCTGATGATGTTTTCTGTAATTGGATTACTGCTATCAAATTAATATAGGAGAAAAGCCTTCTGAGCACATTAAGAGGAATACAATCAGCTTTTATTTACCTGCTACGCTGTATTACAGTGAGGCACACAAGTGTTGCAGCGGGGGCAGCTCAGGTCACCTGCATTGTGTTAGCTGATAGCTTAGCAACCTTTCCCCCAGGCATTTTTGCTTAAATTGATCTAAATAAATTTAGGAATTCAAATACTAGCTTTTAGTAGCAAACAGGATCTTTAGAATAGCCATTTATGAGAAACATTTTTGGTTAAACTTACAAAAAAAAAAAAAAAAAGTGCTATACTATGCAATTATAGTGAGATACACACCAGCTGTATCCCACAGGAGATGGGAATGACCTACAAGATTTCAAGGTCAATTTGTAAATACAGCTTTTCTTCATTTTGATTGAATGAAATTCACTTGATTACTGGGGCTCGGGGATTCTTAGGAAAGGTAGAAGCAGTAAATTTCATCAAAAATGATGAAAATTGAGAGACAATTGTCAAGTTTCCCTAAAAGTAGAAAATACAGACATATCCCACACACTCTGAAAATCCCACAACTGAAAATCCTGATTATTTCAATGTGGTGCCAGAGCCTGGTCTTGCTACCACCAGTTCCTTAGGGCAGTTTTGCCCAGCACTGTCGAAAAGGAAAACATTCCCCATGCCCTAGGGGAAATGAAGCATGGAAACCCCGTTATCACTGACAGAAGTTTTGCCTCTAATTCCCCATCTGCTCTTCTGAATGTTAACCTACAGCATTGGCACATAAGCTTAAATGATAAAGAGGGATTCCAAATAGAAAGCAACACAGTATTAGTCAGCTAGGCTGGTGGTGTCTGCAGAAATGTGGTGTGGGCGCTCATGTTTCAAGAGAGGGAAATTATAGGAGAAAATAATAGAGTTATGTTACGTTGATTGAGGGGAAATGCTGGCATAGAATGGGGAAGTAATGGGTCAAAACCAGATTTATTTATTTTTCAATCTTTAATCCATATGGAATTCTGCACAGCTCCTCCTTCCTATTCTTATTGTTATTTGTGTTTAGCAGCTGCGTAAAATAGCATACAAGGCAAGAAATCTGAAAAGAGAGTAATAATGTGATGCATAGTGTTAACTTACTGGTTTTGGAAATATCCATTTATCTTGGTTAAATAAAAGCTTAGCCCAAGTACTAAGCCAAGTAATCATGATTAGGGAGAGAAAAAGACATTCACCTCCTTAGAAACTCAATACTCTTCAACATTAATAGCACTGCAGTGACATAGCTCGAAGCTGGATGCTTGCTGTAATTAATATAGATTATTGGCAGATGAGGAATGAAAGTATCTGTGCCTGCTCCTGACATTGTTTTCATTCTAGACCAGTTATGAGACCAAAATACATTGGGCTTTTGTTTTGGAGACATGGCCCTTTCACTGTTCAGAGTGCTCTGCTGGCCTCAGAGGACTGCAGAGATTTTGTTCCCTTTGTTGTCTCAAAACTGCATAGAAGGCATATGCATTGTTCTCCCTTATAGAGACTTTGCTTTTGTTCTTTCTCATTATCTTTTTTCCTGACTCTCAAGAAAAATTGGTTTTATGCTAAAAAGTATATTACAAGAACACGTCTACATAGAGATTCATAAGCTCTCAAGGTATTAGTTTTTTAGGGAGGCTAAGTCTGCATTTGTACCATCCAGTGTATCGTGTGCTGAACTCATCCACAAAGCTGGTGATTTAGTGCTTAGACTGATTTTTACCTAAGAGACTGGTGCTGCATTGCACTAAGCCCAGCTCATCAGCCTCGTCTCTGTAGTCATTTGACTCACTTGACTCCCCCAGATTTCCCATCCACTTCATACAACTATTTTGGTAGATATTGTGACTGCTTTTCTGCAAAATGACGCTGTTCCTATTCTCTCTTGTCTGAGCACATCATTATTATCTTTTATGTTGTGTTTCCTAACTTTCTAATCCTCTGCCTTATTGTAGCCCATTTCATTTCTAACTTTCCAGCAGGCTTGCTCCCCAGGCTGGATTTGATCTCTGCACATGAATCTATCAGAAATGTTGATTGCAACTGCTGATCATATTCAAATACCAAAGGGCTACAGATAATGAAGTCTAGGTTCTGAAAGGGTGAGAAATCACCACAGGGTATTTACACTGCAGAATTTACCATTTTGTACTAAGACAAAGAGGAAACGTGCTCATGAGCTCTGAACTGTGTTCTTTGATTTACCGCAGAGGTGCCTACTTCACATCTTCATGTCTCATTTCTGTAGGATGGGGTTATTAAATCTGCCTTTCCCCACCAAGATCATTTCTTAGTCTTAAGGAAGACAAGTCATTTCTACTCGGTGTATGTGATAACCAGGTTTACACACTAATGTGGTCAGTACTATTCCCAGCCTGACTGAACATCTGTCTGTGTCCAGAGGTCCTCCAGCAGGTCCAAGACACCACTAGTGTGGGCAGGGGGATTGAGCTCACATTCCTCTTGTTCCTCCCATCTGGCAATCCCAGACACTTAGATTCAGCTAACTGGTCTTTGCATATGCCAGCAGATTTAATACGTCTTTCAGTGACAGCCAGGGAAAATCAGGTAACGCAGAGTTAAATAGCATGCTTGAATTGCTGGGTCACATTGGCAGTGCTGGTCCAGCACTCCTGGTCCTCTTCTCTAGCCACTGTTTTGGATCCGATTTTTCTTGACATACCTGCACAAACCCAGTGCAACAGCAGCTGCCTACAAAGGTGAAACAGCACAACTAAATCTAAAGCAGGAAGCCAACCTGCTCACCAGGGAGGCAGCATGGTCTGGTAGGCTTGTGCACTGCTCTGAGGCAGGGACAAGTCAATTAAGTGCTTGTGCAAATCATCCCCTTTGCCTGTACATCCCCTGCACCTTGGTTTCACGCCTGCACTTTTGCAATAAAAACATCTCTTGGTAATGGTCTTTAGTAAGACGTGACATGTGAAACCTCGGTGGTGGTCTGGTATTCACACTGACTGCCCACCCGTCAGCAGCGAACACGTTCAGCCCACTGCAGGCTGCTAGAGCCTAGTAAAAATTAACAAGCTACTAAATGCAGACTGCTGCATTTTGCCACAGAAAATAAAGTCAAACAACAGCTAAAATAGAGGAGGAGAGGGGGGGAAAGGAGAGCAGAGAAGGCAGACCAAAGGAGGCATAAGAGTTGTATTTATTTTTTAAACCCATCTCTTTTAGCGTCTGCGATGAATGCTGTAACTAAAGGAATCTAACTGAATTAGAATTTCAATATGTCCTGAGCAGATTGGAGCCGTTTCCATTCATGAGCAGCACGTCCCAGCTGTAATTGCCTGCTTGCTTATCCACACAGCTCTTTACAGCTAATCCAAATGTGGACTCAAAAATAAATAGTGCCAGAGCATTCAGTTCCCGATGGGCAGCCGTTTCAGCATCGCCTCTGCCTTTGCTTTGTTCCGGCCGGTGCTCTCGATGGCACGGGGACTGGCTTAAAGGAGATAAAAGATGATTGACCCTCTCAGGGAATTAGGTGGGAGAAAAACCGCTCCTGCCATAGCTGCCCTGCCTGTTTGTGCTGTTCCTCTGGGTGCTGCCTTGCAGCTGTTTATCTCCCTCTGTCCTCACCTCTCTCCCCAGCCACGTTGCTCCTCTGATCCCGTTCTCTGTTGTGGCTTTCTGAGGGCAGTTGGTGCCCTCCCTGTTCCCCTCTGTGTGCTCCTACCCACACACACCGTCAGGGTTTTAGCACTGCTTTCCTCAAATGAAACATCTCTTCAGGGATATTTAAAAGCCATGCACTTCTCAGATCAGGTCTTTTTTGGAAGCGTGTGAAGCTGAGGCACTGCTGCACATAGCTGGAGCTGGAAGGGACGACGCTGCTGATGGGACTTGGCACTGCACAAAGCAGGGCTCTGCCTTTGCTCTCTGACACGGGGATCTGCACGTGTCCACCCTCCTCAGCAGGGGAGAGGTGACTGCCCATCCTCTTCCAGGATATTTTCTCCACTAAGCCCACCACAGAGTTCCTGGGAGACTTTGGACCAGTCTCAGCAGCCTCTGTGCCATAAGTTAAAAGAAAATTTGCCTTTAAAAACAAAACCAAATGCACCTGTATTTTGCCCACAGCTGAGCTGCATCCCCATGTGATGACTTGTCACTGGCAGCCTCATTCTTCTCCTCTTTTGGACACGGAGCCGCCTTTAGTCTGTCCTCTGGGAGCCCAGGAAGACCACCCTGGGTCCTGGACATTAACCTTCAGCTCAAAACCTAGGTGGAGAGCTCAGCTCCAAGCTCAGGGGAGATTTAGAAAAAGGTCTAGAAATAGAGGTGCGTTCATTAATGCAGCATCATTAGCGATCAGTCTTCCTAAACGTTTGTCAGTACATTAACACCAGCTCCCCAATGTCCATTTTTCCCCTTCCAATAACAAGGAACCCAAATTCAAGGTCACCTGCCAGTTGGATTAGTCAGGTAGTGGAGCCAGAGCTCCGGAGATGCTCCAACGAAAAGGGTTATTTATGTCCCTCTGTCCTGCACCGTGCCATTAGCTTGCGGTACATCAAGGTCTGGTCACGGGGCAGAAATACACTGTTTGATATTGCTGTTGCTGCTTCACGATTTACTGTTGTTGCTGCCAGGGCGTTAAATGTTCCCTAAGTGGTAACTGTCGTCTGCTAATGTAGATACATTTCTTTTATGAGTTAGCTTATTGCTGTCTCTCTTAGTCTACTTTATTCTTCTGCTATGGCCACAGACAAGTGGAATTAGGGCAAGCAGATCACAATATAATACCCAAAGCACCTGCTAAGGATTTTGAGATTCACCCTCAGAATTACGTCTCTTTCGGAGCAATTTGAAGCAGGCCCTCACCAGCAGGTTCTCTTCACACCACGGGCCTCAGGTGTTTGCTGCTGGTGGTGGGAGACATGCTGATATTCCTTAGTGGAAACTTTATCAGCTTTTCTAGTGAGGTCCATAAAATCCATTGGAAGATAATGTTCAAGAAGAAGACAAGACTGGGAGAAGATGAGAGAAGATGGGTTAGCCCTGGCAGAGGCATTGGTGTCACAAGCCCTTGGAGGTGCTCTCAAGTCAGCCCAGAGCAGTGAAGTGCCCTGGGCATGGATGTAAATGTGTTCATAGGAGTTGTGCAGTTTGTACTCTGAGCCTCTCCCTTAAGCATTGTACATTTATTCAGGACAGATCCCCGGTGCCAAGAACAAGGTGTGTTTTGTAAAATCCAAAGCTTGGCCTTCTTGACTGTCTCTGTGGCAACAATGCCAAGAGGCAAATGTGTTGAGGCCACATGGGGTAAATAATGAAGGAAACAACCTTGTTCAGGCAAAACCGAGCAGAAATCCCAGGGTCCAACCCAGCATCCTGACTCTGACTGTACAAAAGAGAAGTTACACCAGGTACAGCAGCTGCCCTGTGGGAGTATTCCCCAGGAGGAGATGGTTGTGTAGCTTGTAGCCATTATATTTTAGAAGTCTTACAAAGGTCTTCAAAGGAGGGCCTTGGAGGGGGGATCTTAACATTACTGGTCTGCAGAAGGCTTTTACCTCAGAGCTAACCCTCACCTAAAGGAAATTCAGACCTCAGTCACTTCTGGCCTCTGGAGTGGCTGATGTAAAGCTATCAGTGTTAGGATTTTACACAAGATTAGGGATGCAATTGCGTGCTAAACAGTGACCGTTAGCTTGGATTGCCCAGCTAATGAAGCAGGCAGCATTAACGCAATCACATAGGGACTGCTGCAAGGCACTGGCACTATGAGGAGTGTCTGAAATCACGCTGACCCCAGGGGGAAGAAGGACAGCCCCCTTCCTCCGCTGGCACCCCCTTGGTGGGACAGGCCCTCTACTGTGATTTGCTCTGGAGTTTGTGAATCTGCTCCCTCCCTGCTGAGGAAGCTCAGCCAGCTCAGGCAGGCAGCAGAAGCTGCTGGTTACTTCTAATGCATGCCCAAGTTTTGCTCAAAGAACAGACTCTCTGGTAGAGTTCACCACCACCTCTGGCTGGCTCCAGGAGAACTCGAGCTGTGGGAGCACAGCCAGTTGGGCTTTCCTCCGGGCAGTTCACATATGACACCCTCAAGGGAGCAGTGATAAATATATAATTTTATTTCCCAGCAACAGGGAGCCTTGGGGCTTAGCCTAGGAGAGGTCTCGGTCCAACATCCAACACAGCCTCCAGCCCTCGGACAGCTGCTCTGCACCCTCCTGCTCAGTGCAGAAACACCAGCGTGAGGATTAGACCCAAGGACACACAACACATTTCTGGCTGTGATCACCATAAAAACACTTTTTAGCTGGTGGCTGATAGATGCTATTTCACCTTCTAAACTACAGTTATTACAGGAAGGAAGGGCTTACAAGACTTGTCCTTCATTTCCACCACTGCTCTGCCATCCCCATTATTTTACATCTCACCTCACGTTAACGAATGGTCCATCTTCAAAGCACGCTGGGCACAGCCACAGGGGATTTGGCACACTGGAAGTAACTTGTACTGCTGCTTTGCATGGGCAGTGACAAAAACTATCCCTCTTCCCCCAGGTCCTTCCATCGTCCCACTGCAGCAAGCAAAAACAACACTGGGCAACCCTCTAAAATGTTTATTTGGACCAGTGGCCGGAGCTCTACATCTTACAGACATGATGAGAAAAGGTAAATGGCATCGATGCTGGTTGTCTCGGATGGGTTTTGAATTTCTAGGAGTGTGCCCTGTCACTGCTCCTCAGTGGGGGCATAGGGAGAGGGAGGGGGGATGCAAAGGGTGCATCCTCTTATCCCTTGCTCCCCCCAGCTCCTCTCTGAGGTCCATCCCTGAGGCTGGCATGCACGCATTGCACATTTTATGGCACACCAATCCCCAGGTGTAGTTTTGCAGCCACAGCTCTATGCCTTTCGCAGGTGTCCTGCTTCCAGCCAGGAGCCCAGAGCACACCCACCCCCCTCCTTACGCTGCTCACAGCCCCCTTTCTCCAAACCATGTCTAACTGTTCCACATCTGGGCGATGTGTCCAGCTCTCAGAGATGTTTCCTGTTCCTGTGCATGCGTGTGAGGGCAAGCATGTGTGCAAGGCACTGCACAGCAGATGGGTGATGACAAGCAGGTGGAAAGGGAGGTGGCTACTGGGAGGGTGCCAGCCCGCTTCAGTGGTGTTGCTGGATGAAATAGGCTGACGAGACAGAGGAATAAACGAATTACTGGGTCTCCCGGGGGGCAGAGAATTGCACAGAGGAGAAGGAAAGGGAAGGAGAGGTTTTAAGTCCTCAGACAAAGCAGCACTCAGTTGGGAATGAAAGAAGTTAAATATCGCTGATGAAGGAACAATTGTCAGTAATACTCAGACTCATCCTTCCAAAATCTCTCTCCTTTGTAGTAAGATTTGCTGGACAGCTTGTCTTGTCACAACCGGACGCATTTCCCTCTCTTTTCTTTCCCCCTTCTCCCTTGCCTCCTCTCCTTCAGTTCTCCTTGCAGTCACTGCTAAATGCAATCACAAAAAATCAGACTCCAGTGAAACAAAAGCAGAGGTCAGTACATCTACAGTGCCAATTAGCAAAACACACTCCTCAGATATTCTAATGAGACATTACTGCTGGCATCTGCTTGGGAAAATGGGCTGGTGAGTTCAGACCCCAGAGCTGCCCCCAGGATGCAGGGTTTCTTTGGAGAATTAACCAGTCTGCTGAACTCTGCTGCAAAGGCCATGTAGGTGCTCAGCTTTGGATACTCTGATCCCAAAGAGATATTTGGAGGACCTCAGCTTGGCAGCAGGTTTCCATGGACTTTCGGTTGGAGCTGGCTCTCTGCCTCTTGCATTTCTTCAGGTCTCCTCTGCAACTGCGTTTTCCCCAGGCTAATGTTCTGTGTGAATACACAGACATGGATGGGATGGTCCAAGGCTAGGCACTTGCAGGAGATATCTGCCCACAGGACGGGCTGGCCAGGAGCCACGTGCTCCTGATTTGCACAGCCTTCAGCTCCTAGCATGTCTTCCTGCAGGGCTGGCTGACTTGGGCTGGGCGCTGTGCTAAGCAGGGCTGGCCAGCATCTGGTCTGCTCAGACCTGGGGAGAGCTCACCCCATCTGCCTGCAGAGGTGGGAGCAGCACCCCTGTACCTACACGCTGGCCTTGGCAATTTCAGGTGCCTTGTCAAGCCATCAGGAAGGATCGTTTGTACCCTATGAGTGATAAATAAATGCAGGACGGAAGGGGGAGAAGAGAAAATGGGAACAGGAGAGTGCTGACCACAGCCTCAGGGCTGCAGAAGAGAGGTGTGAATGTGGAGCAAGTGTTGCTGACGGGAGGGATTCGTTTGCTAGTGTCTGGCAGCAATTTTAACACATGTAAGGTCACAGGCAACATCACTGTACCAAACAGGCAGTGCGTTTTAGACAAATAACATCCCCTAAGCCATCCTTTCCTAGGAATTCTGTGCTCTTTAAGCTTCAGATGGGAAATTGTCAGCTGGGGCAGCAAACTTTCGTAGCAGCAAACCTTAATAATAGCCTGCTGCAGCAATGGGTCATTGCTGCAGGGGAATCATCTCCTCCTGGGTGGGAGGTGTCTTACCAGCATCTGCTTCTGCAGGACCAAGGCCAAAAGTTATATTCGTTGCTCTGTTTTGGAAATCTGCTGTTCCCCATCTGCCACTTTTTAGGCTTTGGAAACCTAACCAAGCCCTCATTCTTTCTCAGCTGTCCATTATGTTTCCACAGCACTGTAAGATTGGAAAACCAGAGCACTGGATTGGTGTGGTTTGGTTTGGTCTGGTTTGGTGGGGACAAGGGAGGGAATAAAGTGAGTGAAATCTGCTCTTACCAATAGGAATCCTTCCACAACCACCATGGAGATTTGTGTAAGAGCTCCAGGGAGATCGCATGTTGCCATAGCTCTGACAACAAAAATCAATGCGGCTAAATATACCCGGTAAAGAAAAATGTAAAGAAATTGGCTTCTGAGCAGAAAAGCCCCTGAGCACTGGGAATACTGTAGGTAACAAACAGGAGTTTTCTGAGTTTTGCATTCAAGGATTTCTGATATCAGCAGACATCTCAACACAAGGTAATTTGAGTGACTTCTGCATACTAACTGTGATATACGAGTGGTAAATGTGAATTCAAAGTCACTCTGAATAATGCAAGCAGACAGGTATCCCCCCTGCCAACCCCACAGCAGCTCTGTGCTGTCAGAGGCAGCATCTCCCTCAGCACCTGCACCATGGCCCATCTGCAAGGGAAGAAATTTGAGTGGAGGTAACTCATATTTATCTTCTGAAAAATAAAGCAATTGCAGGTGCTTGGTTATTCTAGTTTTCCAGGGCAGAACCTGGATTGCCTTTGCAGCATGCTTAGATCTACCCATTTGGGAGTGAAATGAGAACTGCTGTACTGGAGAAGCCTTACCTCAGCCCCCTCCTGCTCTGTGTGACAGCGCCCGGCTGCAAACCCTTAGGACCTTTTCTAATAAACACCAATAAATCCATTGCATCCCCGGGGCTGCACCAGTCCTGCACCAGTCCTGCACCAGTAACACACAGAGCACATGGGGAGCATGTGGCAAGTTTCATCCTTTATGTAAGTTGGTGCTAAAAGATCATGTCCCCCATGATGGCAAAGGAAGGCCTTGGCTGCAGCAAATATGAGCAACTCTGCAGATGTAGAACTTCTTTAGGAAGGCTGGCTGGCTCAGACCAGCACTATAGTTCTCCTTGGTGGTCTAGTATTTGGACTAATAACATAACCCAGGCTGCCAGAATCCCTCACACAGGTCCTTCCCCTCCCTTCACCTGCAGGGCACAGAAGGAGCCACGGAGCATCCTGCAGAGGGATCCCTGCTCTGCTGTGTGGGGGGGGAGATACAGAGAGGGAAATCTCTGCTCTGTCCCTGGCAGGCACGGTCACGGCCGAGGTTTCCTCTCTGGCAGCTGAACCTGGGTAGAGCAGCCAGCCCGTATCCTGCGAGCAATTTGGCAAAAGGAACACGGAGATTTAGCAGGGGAGAACTTCAGTTTGGAAATGATGAGGACAGCAAAGACCTTTCGTCCTTGGAGGATTGCTTTCCATTAAATGTCTTTGCAGAATCTGTGCTCTGACAGCTGGCACTGCTTTAAAAACAAACTACACCCCCACCCACGCCAGTGTCCTATTTGGGGAGTTGTCACACGTAATCACAAGTATTCGATGGAGTCCCCGAGATGCGCGGTGTCGGGGTGCAGTGCTGTGTGTGTACGCAGGGCAGCCGTCAGCTAATTGCAGCTGTGCAGCCCTGGGGTACAGAATCAGCCGGCTGAGCACGACGCCTTGCCGGCTCACCGAGCAGGGAGAGGTCCCTGGGCTGTGCCACAAGTTCACACGTACCCAAAATCCTTCCCACAGAACAGCAAGCACACAGGCAGATGCCATAGCTGCTGCTCCAGCTGAGGCGATGCTGAGGCTGCCCTGCTAGTGGCAAAATGTTGTATGTACACTATCCTGTCCCCAAAACCAGGGCTCTGTAGTACAAAATGTGCAGCCAGGTAATAGCTGATGTTCCTGGTGTGACAGGGAGTACATTGCTCCCTCCCCAGAGCTGTCAGGAATGGGAAGAGGAGGAGGGATGGTCAGGCAGTGTGTCTCCTGGGTGGTATCAGGGCTGCTGTCCACCCACCATGAGGCAGGCGGGGACCACACACTGTCCTCTTTGCCCACCACCTGCCAGAGAGTGCATCTCTACAATGCACCCTTCAGTCCCTCTTTTTCTACCTCTCATTCTACATCAGAAGGATCCAATACATCAGGAGTATTTGCAACCATTCTCAATTAGCTGTTTGTTTTTAAATTGTCCATCAGTGACCCTTCTTATGTTCTAGCTGCTCTGGTGACATCAGTGAGTGATGGCACTGTGTGCTCTGTGTCTACATGCAGACATGAGTTATGCTGTGTGATCGGGTAATGTTCTGGAACTGCATGACAATTTCTTCCTTCCTGCCGACTTCCATTTGGGAGCACTGCAAATCCTAATAGCAGCTCTCAGAGTTAAATACAGTTTGATAAATAATAATAGAAAAGTAACGTTAGATTATTGCTCTACATCACTTCTTTGAAGGCAACGGCATCTACCAGTTCACAATATATTTTTCTCCCCAGCACCAGGGAAAATTTTGACAGGCTGAATTACCATTTAATTTCCAACTAGAAAAACACTGACAAGCTTTAAAGGATGGTTTTGAAGAGAAACCATGGACAGCTAAAGATGTAAATTACAGTAGGATGAAGAAACTTCAAGGGGTCATAGGTATGGGAGACTATCTGACTGCACTAGCACCTAAGCACAATTTTTGCTGTAAAACCCCACACCATATGTGCTTTGCCTGGCTATGACTCATCATCTAAACACAAATTCAATTCCAGCTTCAAGGAGTTTATGATTGAACTTTTTTTTTCTTGTTTCTACTGTGCTTATGTATGATTTTGCATCTGTCTTAACTCTATTTCCTTGTCCCTATTAGTGGATGTAAATTACACGGTTGGTCTGTCACATGGTGCTTTTTTTCCACGGTTGCGTGAAACTTGGTGGTTTCAGCTTAAAAGAGTGGTGGGTTTGCTAGAGCCCAAAGTGATGTTGATGTTGCTCACCTGCCATTTTGCAGACAGTAGAAGAGGAACTTCTTCCACGTGTACCTCTATGTCCATGTTATGGTGGTGCCAGGGCTCAGAGGCGTGCGGTTCACATGCTTCGGGTGCTGCCTGGATGATTCAAAAGAACCGTAACAGAAAACACAGGAGATTTTGACCAGCCTCAGGTCTGTAAGTACATTTTAAACCCACAAAGTTTGAGTGTGTTTGAAATGTACTCAAATATTTCCTTCTTCACCATTGTGTCCTCATGACCCATTGAATCATCAAAGGCTCGGAGATGAAAGAAGGACTTATGGTTAGAAAATGGAAAGGACTCTGCTGAAGGGGGAATGGTTTGTTGTATCTTCTTTTTTTTTTTTTAATCCCAGAACAAATAGCTTTAGTGAAAATTTTTCTGTGAGGGTTTTCAATGTAATGAGTAACGGGTCTTCCAGAAAGCAATTTTAAAAATAAAGTAAATAAGCTCCCGATCAAAAAAAAAAAAAAACACCACAGAAATCAATTGCAAAATCCCCATAGTGTTTCATGAGCTTTGAGTCACACTCAGCATGGAAAATTTCCACTAACCTATAGGGAATCATGAAAGAACACTGTCCTTTCATAAAAAATCGGTGACTACTTTCTTCAGGCTCTTTCCTACATGTGGTAACGTAAGACCTGTTACTATAATGAACTGAAGAAAAGGCACCTCCTATAACTAAATATCTTCTAATGGCCGGAATTGGCATTGAGAGGTCAAATTCATCCACAGTAGAATTATACTGAGCCAATGAAGCTGCACCAAAGAAGGATTTACTGAGCTGGCACAAGTGTCTAATCTTTCTATTTGCAATAAGAGGTTTTTACCTTTTCAGAAATGGCTGTAATTTGTTTTGGAGATGAATAAATTTCCACCAGGTCAGAATGAATCCATTGAAAATGGACACCTGAGGACCCTTAAGCCTTTCTCACCCACAAGATGGGTATGGAGGTGGAACTGCCCACCCCACAGAGGGCTCATTGATTAAATATGAACTTCACATAAGAATGTATTATTTTCAACCTCAGAAATATTTACCAAAAAATCAGGGATCACGATCTACTGGACAAAAGGAAAACAGTCACAGCCCTAAAAGCTGGAGAAGACCGGGCCATACTCCTCGGGCTGGCCATGATGGTGTGCTCTATCATGATGTACTTTCTCCTGGGAATCACCCTGCTGCGGTCTTACATGCAAAGGTAATTTCATTACAGTTGCCCTGACCTCACACGCTCTGTTCCAGCTGACTTACTGTTGATTATTCTTTTAACTATTTTTATATTTTTTTTTCCTTTGGTCAACATATGTCAGATTCTGCATTTGCTTACCCCAGTATAAATTACGCATAGCTACAGTGAAAAGCAAGCTGAGCAATGCCAGCATAAGCAAGGGAAGTATTAGATCCCTGTTTGACGAAATCTTGATCCATAAGCCTTAGACTTGCCACAGTTTAACATATCTATAATATCCACATCAGCTGGCTTGCAGCCTGCTGAGCTCCGTAAGCCTCGCAGCGGCTGTTGCTGTAAAGCCCAGGCAAACTCTGGAGAGAACAGCAAAAATATTTAGCTGCCTCAAGAAACAATGCATTTGCAAATGAAAAATGAAGAATCTATCTGGGAAAGAAATCCAGCTGCTTTGGAGCATGTAGTTTTCCATGTAGGTTACTGCTTTCATGTCAACAAGTGAAATCCTCCCAAAATAGAGTAATTTGCTGAAAGTGAAGGATCATCTTTCATCATTACTGCTCTGTACTTAATTTTTCTGAGTCTTTCTCTGGCTTTCTTCTCTGATATTGAGCAGAAAGTTTGGCCTGTAATTCATTAGCAGTATTTGAAAGCAGTTTTCAAGCACCAACCCTATTTAAAATTCAGCCTAGACTGTAATAAGGCTGTCAACAATGTTTTTTCTGCCCTGATCAGCAAAGTTAAGAGAATGAAAAATGCATAATTGCGGATCAAAAGGCTGGTGTATCATGCCCAAACCCACTCTGAGGTAGTGGCCAATACCTGGCACATGCTGGCTTATCCCCAGCAGGCTTCATATTTAGATATGCACAATTAGTGCCTGAAGGTAACTGGTATGAATATCCTCCATTCTAATGGTGCACTTGCAGGAAAATATTCCTTCTTGACCCTGCCCCAATAAAGAAAAAAAAAAAAAAAAAAAACAACCACAAACCCACAATGCATGAAGATAAACTGTGCTGATTTTCAGCATCTTAGTTGTGTGATAAAGGTATTTGTCCCTGTTTAAATCCAGGCAAAGTTTAGCTTTTTGAAGATAGGGATCAAGCCCTTTTAAGTATCTAAGAGTATTTGCATTTCCAAATTGCTCTCCCAGACCTTTTAGCAATACCAGGGTCAATTGTAGAGGCTGCTAAGGTCAGAACTGCTCATGTGGAAAGATGATTTATATTACAATCTATGTGAAAAATTGCCAGAAGATACCAAAGCACCTATGAAGTACCACATATTCCAACTTCACAAGTCTGTTGTAGGTAGGTGTTAGTTTATCCTCCCCGTTCATGAATAAAGGTTAAAGTGAGGAAACGAAGGCTACCCTGTGCTGTCACGTCTCTCGGCACAGCCAGATCTCCTTAGGGGTTATTTTCCTTTGCAGACAGCAATACCCATCCAGCAGAATGCTTCCTGGGAAGAAAAAAAAGAAAAAAAAAAAAAGAAACCTTTCATTCGATTTCCCTCCAGAAATCATAGCATAATTTAATAAAAATGTAAAACAGAATATACAAGCGTAATTACTGCCAAAATGAAATACCAAGAGAATTAGTCAGCAATCTTGGCTATCACTTATCACTGAAAGCCTTTTGCAGGCTTCGGCACGGAGCAGACAGACCTCGGCTTCCTCCTGGCTGTGGCCAGGGACAGGCTGCGCTCTCCTCCCTAAGGAAAACACAGCCATAGGTTGTTAAATACATACAGAAAACCCAGGTGAACAGCGACAGTACATACCCAGGCTCCCTCATGCCAGTTTTAACCTCTAGTGAATGTGAGATAAGCTGAAATCCCCCAGAACGACTACATCAGGAGATTTAACTTACTGAAAAGCAGGCAAGCTGCTACCAGAAAAGCTTTCCTGCTGGTAGAGCTGCAAGTTGTACCACTTGTATGCTACTGGGGGCTTGTGCATATGGATATCCGTACCCCAGGAATGCAAAGTTGTCCCCCACTTTAAGCTGAGCTGGACTTTGTGGTGAACCACTGAGTCTTGGTTCACAGTGCCCCGTCATGAAGTTGCTCTCCCCAGGGCAGGCTGCTCCGTTTCCTTGTCTGCTGATTCCCTTTGATCTCAGATACCTTCTTCAGTCTGAGTTCCTTTTTCATTTACACATAGGAGTAAGTGAATCAGGTATTTTTGTGCCAAAAGCACAAACGGTAGGGACTGCAGAATAATACCCTCTGTCTGTGATGTGTGACATGAGGAAGCCCAGCCTTTGCTCCAAGCCCCACAGCGTGTCCCATCAGCCTGCAAGGTGCCCTGGGTTTATCCCTGATGGGAAGGCTGAGCTGCAGTTAGCACTTATTGCCCATTCTTGCCATGCTCTAACATCTCCTTTTGTCTGCTTAGCGTCTGGACGGAAGAGGCTCAGTGCTCGCTTCTCAACGCATCCATCACAGAAAGCTTCAACTGCTCATTTAGCTGCGGTCCAGACTGCTGGAAAATCTCTCAGTACCCCTGCCTCCAGGTGTACGTCAATCTCACTTCTTCCGGCCAGAAGCTTCTGCTCTACCACAACGAAGAAACAATGAAAATTAATTCTGAGGTAGGAGCGCAGAATGAAATTTCTTCCAAAGTGGGTTTCTGCAGGGCTGCTCGTTCTGTTATATCCATTCCCTGCTGTAAAGCGATATAACGCTTCCAGCTCCTGCTTCCCTGGTAAGCACAGAGCAGAGAAAGCAGAAATCAGAGCCCGGACAGAGCACAGCACATCCCACATGGGGTGGTGGTCCCAGGGGGGCAGGAGAATAGGAACGGCCTCATTTCTGCAGGGCCAGACAAGGCGGCAGAGGGAGATGAGAGCCCTGTGCCTGGCAGCAGATGTGGCTCCGTCTGCATTTCTGGTGACAAACCCTGAGCCCTGGCAGTCTCTGCTGAGGTCGGCTGTGTTGCTGGGGCCATGGCACAGCACTTATCCCTGCCGGCGGTGCAAAGATGCTGAAAGTTTACAGAGGAGAGACTGTCAGGAGAAAAGACACAGAATAAAAATAAAAGACAGACTAAGAAGCCAGCCCATCTTTCTTGCACAATTTCTCTGATTCCAGACGTTGAAACAAAAACATATTTCACAGAAGAATTCCTTTCTCTGCTTCAACAACCACGAAACCCAGCGTGACTCAGCCCAGGTGGGACGGAGACAGCTCCCGCCTGGCGGCTGCGGTGAAGGCAGCGGATGCACGGCCGGCATCCCTCCGGCCACAAAGGCGAGGCTGGCAGGATGCCCTCTCCCCACCACCACTTCCTTGCCCCTACAGCACCTGGGTACCGAGGTCTGCAGGCTGCAGTGAGCCGGGAAGCAGCTCAGGCAGTGGGCGTGCAAGTGCCAGAGCTGCACTGACTGCTTTGCTACCCAAGGTCACCGAACCCCAAACTACAGGCGCTCGGCAAACCGCAGCCCACAAAGGCTGAGCCCCATTGTCAGGCTGCTGACAACGTAACCTATTGTGTTTCTATTTATGGCAGCAGTTCGGTAGACCAAATTACTTCTGCATATTAAGATGAAGTGATATTAAAATGAGTCAAAGCACAGAGTGGTTGCACGGGGCCGGTTGTTCTGCTGGATAATTAGCTCCTGTGGCTGAGAGATGAAGTCCTCCGGATCTGAATTGTGAAATGCAGCAGTGCTCCCCAGCCCAGTTTGGTGTCAGTGCAGAAATGAGGCACACTTAGCTCATTCCATGGCACTTGCAAGCCAGGACAGACCCAAATTTCTGCTGGGGCAGAAGTAAAATCCAGTGATGCTCATGCTGTGATTTGGTTAAAATAGATCAGATCAGTCTCTGTGCTCCACTGGATTCAAATAAATCAGCAAGTTCAGCATAAATCTTCACTTTCTGTTATTGATGATTTTTATTTGCTGAAAACAGACTTTGAAATTCCCCCAGCCACCTCCTCTTCCTAATTTAATGTAGGCACAGTTAATACTCCTCCAGCCCAAGGTTGTTTTACAGGTTAAGCTCTGCTCTCAGGAGGATTCCCAGCTTTTCCTGATATGCTGCTGCTGATTATGTGACCTGAATCCAAATGCAGTTTTGAATACGAGTTCTCAACAGCTGTAAACTACCTGGCTTGTTGTGCCTGGCTGGGATCAGCAGAGCCTCCAGGTTTCAGACCAGCACAGCCCATCTCAGCAGTGCTCCATACGTGTGATACCAACTAGGCTGTTGGCAGTAGCCGCACCTGCTCGAGAGCCAAAATCTGGGGAGAAACGGTGCCTCCTGCTGCAGAAGTCAACTTCATTGACTTAAACAACACCACCTCCAGCTTGCCCAGAGATTTGTGTGGTGTCCATCCCTGGAGATACTCACATGTGACTGGATAAGTCCCTGAGCAGCTCTTCATTGAGCAGAGCTTTGGACTGGACATGCCCCCATGTAGACAGCCTGTACTGACTGACTGATCCTTTAAATTAGAAAAGTAGGGCTGGAAATATAAGTTTTCTTTATATCTACCTAGGGCATGCTTCTTGTGATCAGATTGCAAGTAACACAAGAGCCACTTTTCTCATGTTGTGTCACAGAATCCTTACTGGAGGCAGAGACACAAAGTTTACTTCCATGTTTGCAGGTTCCCAGGTGTTCAACAATGCAGAAGTGTAATAAAACAGCATAGAGTTAGCAGGCTACATTCACAGATACAGAGTAAGTGATAGACACAAAACTCCCTGCCAGGCATTGGAGAAAACTAAATGGTGATCAAAACAAAGGAAACACTCCAAGCATCCCATTATCAGTGTCTGCCTTCTTGCCTGCCAGCCACCTACACAATGCTCAGGGGAACTGGGACAAGGCCACTAGCACGTGGAGTGAAGGGCACTGTATCTCGGAGAGCACACGGGAGGCTGTAGCACAGGGAGAGATGATTTTGGCACAAGGAGCCTGGGCTGAGAGACAAAACACATCAACCTCCCTTGCACAACTGACTTCCATGGCTTCGTATTTTCAAACCCTCTTGGCACAATCAGCCCAGCCAGCCCAACACGGCTGGTGGCTCGGGGCCATCAGACATCAGAGGCAGCAGCTCAAGTTCTGCTGCTGCATCAGGTCTCCTACAAAAGTGTCTGGAAAATAGTCCACCTTGCAGGAAGCCAGGACTTGCAGAACCTCCCCACTGCACTCCTGAGGTGTTTCTGCAGACTTGGAGTCCAGGAATCTGTCGTTGTTTGGGCTTTTACGTGGCTGCTGTTTTCTGAGGAAAGAGCTTGGAAAAAGTGGCCAAGTCCTCACTCAATCTCTTCCCTCAGGACAGTAAAAGTTGGGACTTCAAGAAACAAAAATATCTAGCACCAAATTTGAAAAACCAAACAAAACAACAACAAACACCCACCACCTAAATATCAGAGCTGGAAATACTGCTAAGACAGTGACAGCATATAATTCAGTAAAAGAAAATGAGGCACAGCTTCACTGAAAAATTTCCCCTACTTATTAGATTCTGATGTACTGAAGAGTCATAGGCAGTGGAAGAGGGCTTGTGGCTTTGGAAATTTAAGACAAATCTGAACAGAGTGCGAGACAATATCCAGGGGGGAGCAGTCCTGCATCCACTGGGAAGATGGATGAGATATTACTGCTCTGATATTTTCCGTCTCTAATTTCTAGAGCTCTATGAAATATTCATAATGGCAGGCTGACATGCTCTACCATTAATGCTCCAGTCTGCTAACGCCAGACAATCTTCCTGCCGTGCTTCAAATCATATTCTGGGCTAATAAACCTGCCAATGAATCAATCAAATCCTGTTATGAGCTTAATCTTTTGATCATTATTAGGACTAGAGATTTGTCTCAGTATGTTATGAAAAGTCACAGCACAGTTATGAAAAAGAACTGAGGGACATTTGTAAAGTTTATACATTAAAACAATAAAAACCCACGGGTCACATTAGTTTAATCAAGATGTCTTTTCCATTCAAAAAAATTTACTCTTTCACATTAAATTATCAAAGTTTAATTATCACCCCATACAAGTGAGACCAGCAGTGCAGCAGGGGAGCATGGCAGGACCCATGAGCAAGTTAAGCAACAGCCCAAGGGCCTCCCCAGCAGCCAGGCTGGTCTCCAGCAAGAGGCTGAAGGGAAGCCTTCTGCCACATCCCGAAGAAAATCCGTTTTCTCTTAGACTTTCCATTTGTTCTTAACTGAGTCATTGCCCCTAAGGGAAGATTTGTATTAAGGTCTCTTTGGGGCCTTTCCCTCTGTGAGAGAACTCCTGTGCCTAAGATCATGTTGATCCAATGCAAGTGAGGTCCAATCTACCAGATTTGTATTTACAGCGAGCCAATTACCCATCTCACTGCAAGAATACACACACCACTTAAGATGAAGAGGTGCTTCATCAGTTCCATTTCTGCATGTGTAAATTAGCAATAATAATATATTCACCTATCCATGAGGCCGCTGTGCAGATTAAAGCACTAATGTTTGTACAGCACTTGGAGGAACTCCAATGGGCAATTCCTTAGATGTACATAACAGTGAGTTTTGTCTGGGATAAATGTATTACTGACTTAATAGCATTGTGTTTCTTTTGAGAAGCATAATCATCTCTGAATTCTCCTGTTCGTCACCTGAAAACAGACATAGTATCTGGTTTGAAGATGCATTTTACTCCCTCTGATTTCTTCCCAGTGTTCGTATATACCCAAGTGTGGCAAGAATTATGAAGAATCCCTGTCGCTGGTGAACGTTGTGATGGAAAACTTCCGAAAGTACCAACGCTTCTCCTGCTTCTATGACCCCGAAGGCTCTCAGAAGAATGTAATATTGACCAAACTATACAGCTCTAATGTACTGTTTCACTCCCTCTTCTGGCCCACCTGCATGATGATCGGTGGCGTTGCCATCGTCGCGATGGTAAAGCTGACTCAATACCTTTCCCTCCTCTGCGAGAGAATCCAAAGGATCAACAGATAAGAATGAAAACTTCAGAGATTCAATTACCGCTAAAATACTGTTTTCTCATTCTTCACCAAAGAACCTTAAGTTTGTAATGTGCAAGTCTGTTCTAAGTTCCTTACTATATTCTTATAAGTAGAGCAATAATGCAAAAGCTGTTCTATATGCAAACATGATGTTATTATTATGCAGACAACTGAAAAAAATACTGTTTTGTGTTGACCGTCTATATGATCTTGTTTTATGCTGAGTCTAGTACTTCTTTCCTTTCTACAGCCAAAATTGGGCTCAGTGTGACCATTTGCCAAGCTCAGTCAATTGACTTTTTCACTGTAAGGGATTCTGGGGAAATTCACTCTGGACAAAGGGCAGCGAATGACTTGTGCATCACTGAGGTCTCACCTCTGGCTCAGTCCTATTCAATGGATTTGTGGTTTTGCTTGTTTATTATTGGCTGCAGGGGAAAAAAAAAATAATATAGAAACACCAGAGGTTTTTCTATTGTTAGGTGGCACAAAATGGACATATCTTAGGGACAGGGACAAGCATGCAGTATTAACAGCCTCCCTCAGTTCAGAAGTAAATTTTACCGTATGGTGTTTAAGGTCTTTTGCAAAACACTTTGTGGTTTTATTTTATTTAGTGTTATAATTTTCCTCTGTCTTACCAACAGCATCTTTGTTATCTGCAGAAGCTGTAGCCAAAAAAAAACAACAACAAAAAAACACACACAAAAAAAAAACCCACACAACAAAATCACCTTGTTCCATTTTCTACTCCAGTCTGAGCCCTATTGATGGAGATGGGACCAGAACACCTTATGTAAAGATTTATTACTCATTTGTCTTGTATTTGCTACCATATCACTGTAAAGAAAAAAAAAAAATAACACAATCAGCTATTTTTTCATTTTTTACTTCCAACTATTTTAGATTTTTTTACTTGATATATATACAGATATATATATATAAAGAAAAGCTATATTATATCTAGTTGTGTATTGGAACTTGATTATGGGGTGGTTTTTTCTGTTTTTACCAATGAAAAAGTGAACAATATAACCTGTATTCATAACCTTCAGCCTTGGATAAGATCATAACATGGAGGAGTGGCACTGCAGGATCTTATCCAATATTCATGATGTTGTTGCAGTCAAAGGTCCCTATTGCTGTGACATCTGAAATGACAAAAATCTCATCCAATTCTATGGCTCCATTAATTGAATTGTTAGATAATAATCACAGTGCTTCTGGAAATCTCTCCTGACCTTAACGCAGAATGCAGTGCTGGCTGAAGTGAATTTTGATTTCAAATGCCCAGGTGAAATGATTTATTGGAAAAACTCAAATTCTGACTAATATGTTGTTCTGCCTGTCAGATATTTACTATAGGGATCCTGCCAGTCTAATTTCATGCACACTGTAGTCGCAATTTCCGCATAATATATTTTTATTCCCCTGTAGAAAACATTCCTTCTTATGTTGTGTTTAAAGACACCTCTCATAGTTTCTCACTTTGTACTTAGCCTGAAGGACAAATGCAAGGCAACTCCTGTGAGCAGGCTGTGAACTCACTACCCAATGGTTCAAAGAAATCATTTACAGGCCTATTCAAACCAAGAAACTATCACTTTTTTTCCCTCAAAAAGACTGCAAAGAAAGTATTTTGCCTCGTTCATCTATATATAAGTACCTTTCCATAGCATAGCATTAACAAGATGTTACAAAACTTTACAAGTCATGCAAGTGTAACATGAGCTGTAAAAAAAAAAAAAAAAAAAAAAAAGAGTTCTCAGCAGTGAAAATGAAATTGCAATCTTGTAATCAGTAGTATAATTTTCCTTAGGTAAAATAATTCCTGGAGGGTGTGGGTATAATCAGGGCTCCAAAAATATGTAATAAAAAAATTAAATTAAATCTTCCAGATTTCAATATCTTCTGCATTCAGACCTGGCTTGTTTCATTAGACTTTTGTCTGTAGCTCCTAGTGCCTTGAAATTAGGAGCACTGATGCAATGGGGAACTCAAAAAGGTTTCTTTGTAAAATGCTTTTTTTGATCAATCTGTGGGATTTTGCAGAAACCAAATGGGGACGCAGGGCCTGCTGCCTGGAGTCAGGCACTTGTTGTTACTACAAAACCCGAGTGGCCAAACTTGCAGGGTACGAGATGCGCCTAGGCCAGGCCCTGCCAGCCGCACTGCTGAGGCATCTTGGCCCATTTAGGTTCCCCTTCAAGCAGAGGGGTTTGCGACAGCCAGTGACAAAGCCACTCTCCTATCTCACGCCTATCTCCTATTGACACTTCGGCTGCCGTGCTGGTGCCTTTTGGTGGTGGGGCCAGGACAGCTGATTGCTGCTGACACCCACACATCAGGCGCTGCCCTCGACGTGTCGTGCCAGCAGCGTTTCACCTGTGGGTGAGGCATCCTGACGCTGTTGCTGTCTGTAATCATTTTGTTGACGTTAACAGAGAGATCTGTGGGGTAGCGAAATAACTTGGGTAATTGGATGGAGCGAGGTAAAACAGTAATTTTGAAGGGAATTACCCACCTGCTCGCTGGCACAGTTAACCCCCCACTGAAGTGTTAGCACGGCAAGTGTAATTTTGACAACTCCTGCTGCCCCAAGGAGGTAGTGTTTCAGAGGGGATGTTTGCCTGTGCTCACTCTACCTCCATTTTAATATCCTTTTTAGCCCCTGCAAAATGAACTTATATTCTTGTAGAAAGCACAAATGATGAGAAAAATTCCCTATTTGCATAGCTCTGGGGTTAAAATTTAGTATTCATGCAACCCCACCATGTTTCTGAGGCTGGTCCTGACTCTCCCCAGCACAAATACCTCACCTCAGCATCCCAGCTGGGGCAGGAGGGAGCAGCCAGGGCTGCCAAACCCCTGAATGGAAAAGTGCCACAAGAAAACAGCAGCGCAGTGCTAAAAGGCATTATGAGGCATCCCCGTGGGGTTTAAAGCATGCGTAATACTCCAGGTGCCACATTCACATGACCTTTTAATAGTTGTTATTTTCTTAATTAGATTATTTATGTCAAGTCTTATTTCTATCCTGGAATATCTAAATCTGAAGCTGAAGTGTGAACGTCCCTGCTGTAATTCTCTGAAACTTGGCACCTTGCAGCAGACCCAGTAAATGTCACCAGCTAGGACAACAGAGAGCGTATTTGGGTTTATCTTTTCTAATTGAGGAGACATCACTTTCATCTCACAAAATGTACCCAAAGCACAAGCAGTGGGAGTTGGAGGTGAATACAGAAAGGTGGAAAGAGCACTCAGGAAACAAGAGCTGCACATCTTGAGGAGCCACCAATGCAGTGATCTCAAACCTGGCACGAAGTCCGAAGCAAGGCTGGGGACACTGCTGGCCTGCATGTCCCCACCTCGGGGCACTCTGCTCTTACAACACAGCCACATTAAAGGCAGCCAAAGACAAGCCCTGCAAGTGCAATGGGGAGGTTTCTCAGCTGGCACAGCAATATTTAGTTATATCAAAGTCTGCATCCCAAACCCAAAGGCTGCTGCCACGACACAAGCCACAGCAAAGGTCAATAGAAGAAGATAGTGAGAAAGCACCGGCTGGTGTCAGCCTGGTCCAGGGGGACTCCAGCACCTGTTTTGCTATGACAGCTGAGACCTTACAGCATTACAACTGTGTTAGTATAACCTCTGGAGGGAATGGCAATTTGGGGGTAATAGCATCTTAAAAACTGGACAGCTGATTCCCTCCCTCGTACAGTAATGCCCCTGTTAACACAGCTGTAGCTATTCAATGCAACTTTCCAGTCTCAGAATCCAAGCAGGAGAGCATCAGCTCTCCATTAGCCCCTGTGCTGCTCATCATCTATCATAGATCTGGTGAAAGAAAAAACAAAAACACTTTTCTGCTTCACTGAGCACCCTGAGCATGTCACTTCCCAGCATCATGCAGTCTGCGGTGTACCCAATCATTTTACAACTGTGTACAAACTCTGCCAAGTTTTGGTTGTTTGGGAAAAAAGTAAAAAGGAGGGGGAAGTATCAATTATTTTGTTTCAATGTTTTGAAAACAAGATGTTCCCATTTTTCAGTTTGAGCTGATGTTGCCTGTTGAAAATCAAAAGGGGGGTAGTTTTCTTACTAGTGAAGCTTGAAAAATAAATATAATAGTTCCTCTGATGTGAAACAAAGCTATTGGCAATTGCTTGGTTCACTGAACAGTTTGGAGAATTTATTTTTTAGATGCTGACTGGTGACGTTTCTTTTCTTCTATTTTCCTCAACAGTCAGAGAGCCACAGGATCAGTCACATACACAGCCACCGGCAGCCCTGGTCATCCCAGAGAACATCAGTGATTGCGACCATGAGTAAAGCAAAGTGTCAGCCTCAGAGCCCCTAACAGCTAATAAACTAGAAGGCAAGGGGGAGGAGGAAAGCAGCGTTTATCAGAGGAGCAGTGGTGCAGTGAGGGGCAGCGCTCCCAGGGCCAGCTCCCGGTACTAATGTCCCCAGCAACCTGTTAAGGTCTGATTTCAAAACTGGAAATGCTGCCAGGTGAATTCACAACTTTTTTTTTTTTTTATGAATCAGATTTCTTCAAAATGTAATTAAAAAGTGTTATAAATAGTAGAACCCTCCCTACAAGCCTGCATACTTTTTATAGTTCTCCGTTTTCATCCAGGGAGCTAGTAGGTGAGTATATATTTAACTGAACTACATTTATTCAGGTGAGAATTTAGGGTATTTTATTGTAATATAAAAGATAAGAGATGCTTATTCCAAAATGCTCTGCAAACTCTACAAAGCCAGCAATACAGAAGTGAGGCCATTTCCAGGCAGAGCAGCAGCAAGTGACTCATAAAAACACTGAGGAGACACAGGGAACCAGTCTTCTCATGCAAAGCACAGAAAGGGTTTGTTTACTTTGGAAGTTCAAGAAAAAGAAGTGAGAAATAGAAGCATCCCCAGAAGGTGTGAAATATTTATGGACAGGTCAGGACTATGGGAGCAGATAAGAAAAGTTCACCCTGCACAGCAGGATCAGCTGCTGCTATAGGTGGCAAAGAATCTTTATGGCCTTTTTTCCCCCCAGAAACAGCTGCCATTTCCAATACATTTCGGGGAAAACTGTTTAAAAAACCAACAAACAAAAAAACCACTAAGATGCTGGTTTTGTCACTCAATTCACCACAAACTAGTTCCAAATACAAAACAACATTTTGTTTCAAAACTTATATTAATTTGGTTTGGGGAAAAAAATGCACAAAGCTGAAACTAAAAAAAATAAAATCTGAACCTGTAATAGAGTGATCAGCCACTATCCCATGGAGCTCTTTATATTGACTGTACTTCAATTTTTTCAGGTTTTTTAGTTTTCAGGAAAAAAAATAAAAATAAAATTCTAATTTTTCATGCCATATGCAGGATAGGAAAAAAATCACCTAAAATGTCATGGAATTGAAAAAAAAGCTTCCCACACAGCTCAGGCTAAAATGTTCAAGAAAAGAAAAAAGTCTCCTAGGGTAGATTTTCTAATATATCGTGCAATAACGTATATGAGAAAAAGTGGGAGGTTTCATCATCCCTCTTCTTAAAGTCTCCAACTTGGCTATTCTTTTGCATAACTGCAATTACTATTCTATTTTCAATTACAAAAGCCCTTTTTACCACCCAGCCACCTGCACGCAGCTCCAGATCACAGAGGATGGATTGTGCTGAGCCTGCTGCTCAGCTGCGGACTCGGAATAAAGAGGGCAAGAAGGAAGAAGGCTTTGAGACACTTCCACGTGGAAGGCACTCCTGATTTTAATCACCACGCACATAAGCTCCGTTACGTTCATCACAGATTAAGCAGGCAGCAAAGCATGACGACTACGCAGCAACACCTTTATCACTCCCCTTACAAGAGCAGGCTCGAAGTCATTAATACAGGCAGACAGCTGAACAATGCAACGGGAGCTTGCTAAAACCGCAGAAGGCTGCAAAACTCAGCTTTGCCATATGCTCAAAGACGGGAGGGAAAGCAGGATAGTAGCAGCAGCAGGGCTCTTTGTCCCCCAGCACCCGCTGCCTCCTGCCCTGCACCCTGCTCTTGCCTCCAGGCACCAGACGTTATAGATGTTATATACCATCTCCTGCCCCGCAGTGAAACATGGTCCCAGTAACCTGCCACGAGCACTGTCATTGTGTAGTGTGTAAGCTACCTTTAAAAAGTCGCATCAGTCCAGGTTTCTATTAAAGAGCCTTTAGGAGAGAGTGGGAAAGCACACACAGAGAAAAACGCAGGTAGCCAAAGTTGGTGACTGAGCTGGGCACTGCAGCCTGACCAGCCGGGGCGCACAGCCCTCGGTCTGGCCACTGCTATCCCCAGAGGCATGCCCCAAGAACCACCCGAGCTGTAAAGCTGCTGCGAGCAGCTGGTTATTAATGCTGCTGATCCAGACACTAAACATTGTAAGTGTTCAGTATTGAGAAAACAGAGAAAAAAATCCAAGGCAAGACTACCCAGTCTGGACATCTGACCTCCCTCTGCTGAGATCAGCAGCCAAGCTTCCACTGGTCGCAAACAAACCAGGATTCAAAAGCAGCCCAATGAATTAATCAATGCAGAAGGCAGGGACATGAGCGGTGGTGGGACTGTCCTCCCTGCAGGTGCTCACAGCCTACACTCACTCTTACCCGACCTGGGACAGCATGGGGACTGTACCTCCATGTCAGAGGTCTTTGTGCCAGGCAAACCTTAAAAGAAAAACCTAAAGGAAAATAAAAGTGCTGCAGAAAAATGCAGTGGAAAAATTTCCAGCATAACTCTACTGACCAAAAGGGTACCGCTTCTCCAAAGTCACTGTTGGCTTTTTCTCCTCAGTTTATAAAAGACAAGGGGTTGAAGACAGACAACCTGTCTTCAGCTTGCCAAACCCATGACGTTTAGCTGCTTTGGGGC